AAGTACATATACATCAATTATTAAATTGACTTTAATATTCAAATCCTTCCATATTACTCCATCCATTCCTAAATATCTGTCGTTTTACACAATTTTTTTTGTTCCATAATATCTGTCGTTTAATGAAACCAAAGCATAATTAATATTTTTTCTTCTAAATTTACCCACATCTATGTTTCCAATAAGTACTTAATAGATTAAGTGTAGGATAAGTGTCTTTTATATTCCTTTCCTTCCCGATACGTATTGAATAAGGGTATTTTAGTCTTATGCAATTATTTTTACTCATATTAGAGCTACTTAATAGCTTCCTTAATCCCTGTGCAAAAACCTTAAACGACAGATATTTAGGAACGGAGGGAGTATTAAGAGACAACACACACTCAAAACCATAAAACCTCATGTCTGTTCCTCTTACCATTAGGTCTCACTTTCATTACCAACGATCTGTTTCTCCATCCTTAGATTAGTAGAGGACTAGAGGGTGTAACAACACCTCAAGCTTACACCTCTGACCCCTTGGTCATTGGAAGTTACTGAAGCAATATTTGTATTTTCCTCCATGTAACCATGTGAATCTCTTGGTCTTTCTATAATGGTTTGTATTATATTTTTCTTTGCATATACTATAGCTTATAGCTCTGAGTTTTCACTCCAAAACTCAATATGGGTTTAGATAAAAAATTCTTATATGATATGGATTCTCTTACTTTTCCACATTCTAATTCATTTTTGGAGTAACTTTTCTAAGTAGGTGAGCTTGCAATGCCTATCGGATTCTACGGTTGGTTTAATTTTTCTGTATGTATCGATTAGTTCCTTTTTTGGTTGATTTTTGCGTTTAATTTGTTCCATTTTATCGTGTGTATGTTTCACTCAACTGGCTAATTTTTTTCTTCTTTTAAGCTAATTTTTGGCTAAGTGCTTTTAGTTTTCTAGGATTGGTTTCAAGGATTCAAAAGGGTTAAGAAGAAGGCCCGTAGTGGTCCGTTTCTATTGGGTACTGAGACTGCGTATGATGGAGAAAACACCATTTGAAAGTTTGAAGAGAGTTTTGAAGTCTTGTTCTATGGTGGAAGAGTGTGGGGATCCATGGTTCATTGTTACCCATATTTTACGTCTTCGATCCTTATGCCATCTAACACTTGGACAATTCTTGTTGGGACTCGGGTTTCTCAAATGAGTCTCATGTATTTCATCGATTATGCCAATGTTGCCGCCTCCATGGACACCGGTTGGTGTATCATTGGTTCGTTAATCCTCAATTCTCTTGGTATTAAGTTTCATTCTCTTTTTTTATTGACTAATACCGTTTCAAATTTATTTGTTGTCCTTATTTTTTAATATCCGAATTATACATGTTCATTGATTCTTTTGTTTTTCTATATGTTGGGATTCTAATTTGGTTAGCATGAACTTTGTTATTAAAATTCTCGGATAATTGTGGAGATGTTTAGAGTTCTGATATTTGATTTTGCATTTTTCTTGCGAAATCGTAATGGACTATTTTTTCTATATCATATCTGGGAGATGTGTCTGTCCCATTGACTGATGCAACTTCTCAAAGAACCATGGCCAATAGCTTGCAAACTAATAGCATAATTTGCACTTTGATTTTGTTAGCGACAGTATTTTCTATTCTCAGAATGATAGAATAAGAATCACCCAATTAAAACATTTTACCTTCTGCTTAAGATTTCTTTTGTCTTTAATTTCTCTGTGTGATACGTTGTATTTGCACTGTGGAAAACAACATTTAGAGATTGCTACATTGAAGGATTTCACTATCATGTGCACATTCATGGCAGCAGCACTGTTCTTTTCGAGCATGTCATGTTCACTGTAAAGTCAGCTGGATTCAAATCCGAAGAAAGTCGAAAATCTTCTCAGAAGGCAATTGGTTATATTTTGCTGAGGTGTGTGATTGACAACTTTTAGTTTCAAAGCTGTATCTAGCTTATCTTCTTGTTCACCACTAAACTATGTTACTTCTTGCATATCTTGAATTTTGTTTCTTATCACAGATTTTTATGATATGCCTTGGAAATATATTATGCACAGGTACATGCGGGTTCACTAAACTTTAGTTCGTCTAACTCATTAAAGGTGAAGAAGAGAAAGATGGGACTTATCACTTAGCACATCGGGTCCTCAACCATTACTCAAAAATGTTATTTTTAGTTATATATGTACTAATGTTAACTTCTTGAGTAATATTGTCCAATTAAATATTTATAAAATATTACTACTTTCAGTTAGTTTAAGTATTACCATATCTTTCATACACTATACACCACTCTTATTCTATAAATTCACTGAGTTTGATATAATGCTTTTAGAATCTGTATAGAACATCAATGAGGTGACTAAAACAGAGCAGGGTGGGGTTAGTGATGGATTATTTTTTTATTTATATGTTGGCAGTCAATATGGGAAAACATCATTTACAGGTAATTTTTTTAAATTCTTGTTGAGATTATTCAACTTTCTGGGGCACAGCGTGCATACTAGCAAAAAGCTTCATGGGTTTGAATGAATTTTAGTGTTATGAGCAACATATTACTGGGATGATTTGAGAGTATTTCCATGCAGGTATCTGATTTGCCGGAGAAACTAACATGGAAGACTACATTTTCTTCCAGGCTTATAATGGTTGCCCTTTCTTTGCATTTGAGGAGCCCAAGGATAAAGCTCACTAAATACCAAATTTGATCTTATGGGAGGAAGTATAATAGAAGCCTTCTTTGCAGAATCAACTAAGGTGCTGGAGGCCATTGTAGACAACAAAAATTTAGCACACACTTAGGAACTCTTTAAGAGTCAAGAAAATTGTTTGTAAAAATTGTGACAAACACAAATTTAACTTTAAAGTTTATATGCTAGAGAACCAGCTGCTTTATGAAGATCTGAGTATCGAAATATTTGGTAATATTTCTAATAATAATATATGATATTTGATACTCACAGCAATCCACGTACAAAACACGTGTACACCAACTAATATGTATAAATATATATAGAGAAAGGGCCAAAGACCAACGATATATATACATACTAACAATAGCTCCATTCCTAAAGACACTATGTGATACTAAAAATTGGGCATTAATCGTGCAACATTTATTTTTTAAATAGAAACAAATTTTTCCTTTGCATTTTTTTAATGACAGTATAAAATTAAAATGGATAGAAAGAAAATAAGAGAGAGGTAGGTGCCGATTTGTTGGGTTGTCTGGTATTAGGGAGAGTGTTTGCCGACTTGTTTGACATTGGGCCGTACAGAGAAAATAATGTTTTTTAACAGAAAAATTGTTTTTTGGAATGAGTTTTGTACCGATGGATGAAGATTGAATTAATTTGAACAATTGTCGTCTTTTATAAATGTGCAATTCAAATTGCTAGCTGTAATATTATATATAGAGAGAGAGAGAAAGAGAGAGATAGAGAGTTACAAGACTGGGAGATGACCAGCAAAGTGGTCTTACGATGCAGAGGATAATTGAAGAAAAGTGTAGGAGAAGAGAGTGAAGCTTCATATTTTTTTACATTAGGATTTAGGTACGAGCTTTAAGTCTCCATTGATTTGAGTTTAAAATTGGGTTTCACTTTATTTTGTATGGGTATAGATATAGGATTGGAGAAGATTTATGAGTTTATTTTTTTGTCAAATTAAATTTGGGTCAAAAAAAAGGTGAGAACCGGAGTTGCTCTTATATAAGGAAAAAAGAGTTCCACTTGAAATTGAAGCATCTTGTTCTCTAGTCTACAACGCATACGTACCTGATCAAGATATGTGGGCGCAACTTCTAGATAGAAGACCATGAATCACCATAAGTTCATTCTCAAGCCTTATAATCCTAGACAATTAATCTGAGAGGATAATTCTCGACTATTTGCTTTGTAAACCTTTCTCATTCTGAAACTATTACTAGAGTTTTCCTCAAAAAGAGAGTAAAAGACAAACTCAATTCGATTGTCCGAAACATTATACATGTTCATTAAGGCCAGTAAATCACACTTTACATTTTGAATCAAGATAAAAATGATTAAGTTTTTTGATTGGTTGGTTGGTTTTTTTTTTTTGGGAGGGTGGGGGAGGGGGAGGGGGAGGGCGAGGGCGAGGGCGAGGGCGAGGGGGGGGGGAGGGCACGTTAAAAGTGAGTGTGCATTCTTCGATAGCTACTTGCGAGTTGTATTTGAACTTATCGTAAATATGAGGAAACACACAGAACTCCATTTTCAAGGAACTTGAATGAGAAAGAACTTGAAAATACCTTTAATGAAAAACTAAATAATCAAACAAATAACAATAATATGAAGAAAACTATAGAATACTATGCCACCTAGTCAAACCATGATTCCAGGGGCAAAGAGAGCTCGTAATACACGTCGAAAGATTAGGACCACCCTAGCCTGTTTTATGTGTTTGAGGGACCACCCCACTCATTTCCAATTAATATGTATTTGATGTCTCTAACTTGATATAGTGCTAAGCATGGCTAACATGCCAAGTCTATGTCCCATTTAAATTCACCATTATGCATATTCATGTAGTGCTTAGCTTAGTGAGAGCTCAGGTCTCAGGTGAGGGACTGTGTAAAGAAAGGTTGTATCCCCAACATCAAAAAATTAGGGCCACCCAATGTTGATTTATATGGTTGAGGGGTATCTCCGCCCATTGTCAATTAATTGAGTTGGATATTCTAACACGGTATCAAAATTGGATCTTATTTGGTCAGTGGACCAAGTTCAGCCCAATTATGATTTTGGGTCCCACGTGGAAAGCGCATAAAGAGAAGTAGCATTTGGATCTGATCTTCTGACACAAGAAATGATTAGGACCACCCAAATTCTTCAAATCTCTACTTCTGACACAAGAAATATCAAGTTCAAAGAACAACAAAAACATTTGTAGCTAGTTCCTAACAATCTATTATAAAGGAGATGCTTAAGAAACCATAACCCACTTCAAACTATTAATATCTCCTTATATCTGAGTTCTAGAACATTAAACCCAAGGTACCAACCTTGAAGGGTAAGTAAGCAGACTTTTGAAGCCCTCCACTTGTCCGAGTGTACCTTGAAGCATAATTAATTGGGATTTTCCTCTCTGCTTCCTGAAACCCTTTGTTGAGAAAATTGTTAGCAACTCTTTGCTTCACTAACATACTCGTATTTTGATAAACAAATACAAATAGTTAGCAGTTACCTGAACATATACAATGCTAAGGACTAACAAGAAAAAGGAGATAACGATGGCCATAAGTCCAACATAATTGCCATCCTGAAATGCCTCTGCAACTGTTCTACCAAAAGATGCTGGCAAGTACGAGATAATGTTTGTAAAGATCAAGAGAGATGTTCCATTTCCAAGTTTTAGATCAGAGATCCGTTCCCCAATATATGTTGTAAGCACTGAACCAAGTGTTAACAAAGCAATGGAAGATAAAACCCACTGGGTGCTGAAGTCATCGACATAGGGGCGAAGGAACAGAACTTGGCCAATTGCCTGCCACAGATATTTTTAGAAAATTTGACATAGAAATCTTATACAGTAATGTAACAATAATTACTCAAACATAATGGGCCAAAAAGCATCAAAATTGAAACATAGATACTTGAGATCGGGTTTAGGTTTTTTATCCACCAAGACACATTTTTGCTGCCTCAGTGGATGGTCAAAAAGTTAAAATCTTTATGTTCAGGCCAAAAAAAACATAAGCTTAATTTATCTATAAACTGTGCCTAGGTAAGTAAAGATCCAAGAAGCCTTACAGTTTCAGTTCATTCCCGGGCAGTTAGCTTCTTGTTTTGGGGTGGGGGGGAGCAACCACAAACACTAGTCCCTACTAGCAGGACCCTACATTAGACAACAGATGTATAATTAAAGAACAAATTATGAGTCTCAGGTCCCCAAAGGTAGGTAGTTTTGTATTGCTAGGCCACATCAGTGATTGAGTTGCAAGGCAAATAAGCAAATAACCTTGTTACTAGTTCCTTTAGACTTGTCACAGTTTCCTTTAGTCAACATAGCCCGAGGAAACTTTAAGCCGAAACATTCAAATGGCAAAAGGAACGAAGATGGCGACAGAACCATGGGGCCGTTGACAATTCTCTTTGGGTCAGCCAATACTTCAATTCAACCAATAGCTTTAAAGCAAACAATTATAATTATTTCTTGTAATAAATCCAATAAATGTACATGGTCCCTTCTCTGTCCACCTCTGACAGCCAAAACTGGTATGTATAATTAGCAGACTGCTGTTTAATTCCAAATACCATGTGCAAGTGATTATTGTCATGGTTTTCCCCTCTTTCAAATCTTTACACACTTCAATCACTTTATACTCAGTTTGCTAACATCAGCATTAGAAAAAGATCCACAAAAGTAAACCCATCCACCATTCCAAATTTCTAACATCACACAGGTTGTAAGAATATATGAAACTAGCTACCCAGAATAAGGGTCACAAACATGAAGTCATCTAGGGTAGAGCACATGCTGGTCATCATATTGTAATAAACTTTACCTGTACTATAGCAAATCCAACCGATGCATAGCGAGTATACTGAAGAACCTTCTTTCTCCCAGCCTCGCCTTCTCTTTTCTGAAGTTCTTGCAACTTTGGGTAGATTTGTGCAAGAAGTTGAAACACAATCTGTGCATTGATGAATGGAACAATTCCTAGGGAGCCTATCCCAAGCCGACCAATGCCTCCTCCAGAAAAAGAATCCAAAGTGCCTAATAAGCTGTTCTGATCTAAATTGCCAACAAAAGCATCCCGATTTACTCCACCCAGAGGTACATATATTCCAAGTCGGGACAGGGCCAAATAGCCCAAAAGCTTGAGAAACTTTCCAGGCAGTGGGCCTTTGAAGAAGTCCCCAAAATCAATGCTTGTATCCTCAATAGCAGCTGGCAAGGTAAAATTCCCCTAATCAAGGGCTGAGAGCTGAAAGAATGACTCAAAACATGAAGTTAAGGGATTTTAGACAATTAATCTATAAAACAAACCTGCTACTCCTCTGGCTGTTGAAGATTTCTCCTTTCTTGTACTTGAGGCACTCTCAAATGTTTGTGAAAACAAGCCAAGGACACTTTCCCAAGCAGCATTTAGACCCGATAATTCAACTGGATTGATACCCAATGGATCAAACACAGAACTCTGACAGCTGACAAAAGTTATAATTGTTGATGTTTATCAATGAAAGGGGAAAAATATATTGATTAAGTCTAAACCAGATCTGTATTACAAACGAATTTATACTAGGGCAAAACATAGTAATATAAATGACTAATCTACCCCTAATGTTAATATACTAGATTACTATATACTAGATTCATCTAACATCCCCCTCAAACTCATGATGTGATAGCATCCAACATCAAGAGTTTGCCAAGGAGAAAACGAAAGCGTGCGATAGTGTAAGATTTGGTGAAGAAGTCAACCAACTGCATAGTAGAGGGAAGATATGACAGAGAGATCGTGCCCAGCTGAAGATGATAGCGCACAAAGTGACAATCAATCTTTATATGTTTGGTGCACTCATAAAACACCAAGTTGTGAGAAATCTGGATAGCACTGGTGTTATCACAATACATAGGAGTAGGAGTAGTCAAGGAAATGCCAAAATCAGCAAACAACCAACGCAACCAAACTATCTATGCTGTGGTAGATGTCATAGCACAATATTCAGCTTCAACAGAAGAGCAAACTCCAACAGTTTGTTTCTTTCTTTTTCAGAAAATAAGAGAATCACCAAGAAAGAGACAAAAATTAATGGTAGATTTGCGATCCATAGAGTCACCAGCCCAGTCCGCATCAGAGTAAGCACAGAGCTCCAAAGACAAAGAAGAAGAAAATAATAAACTCTGATGTAACGTACCCTGTAGATATCGAAGAATCCAAAGAACAACAGACCAGTGAAGTGTGGTAGGAGCAGCAACAAACTGACTAACCACATAAACTGCATAAACAATATCTGGATGAGTAACAGTAAAATATACCAAACTCCCAACAATAGTACGATATAAGATAGGATCAGGCAGGAGAGAATTATCAGAGGAAGTATAACGAATATTAAGCTCCAAAAGTGTGTCAACAGTTCGAGTATCCAATGAGCAAGCTCACTGAATAGCATCTGAGACATATTTTAACTGAGAAAAAAGATAACCCTTGGGAAAGGAAGCAACCTCAATCCCTAAGAAATATCGAAGTGGACCCAAATCTTTTATCTCAAAATAATCTTGTAACTGAGTTTTCAGCAACTGAATTCCAGCATTGTCATCACCTGTAATAATCATGTCATCTACATAAAGTAATAGAAGTATGAACTAGAAGAAGTGGATCGAATAAAGAGAGCAGAATCATAATCACTAGCACAGAAGCTTAAGTCACATATGACAGAAGAAAATTTTGCAAACCATGCCCTCAGGGCCTGTTTAAGACCATATAAAGTCTTATGAAGTTTGCACACATGACCAGGACTACAAGGTAACCCAGGAGGAGGAGGAGTCATGTAGTAAATGAACCTGTGGAAGGAAAAACTGATAGGACACCTGGTTGATGAAGGAAAAGAAGCTTTTGCAACTGATCAACTATCATAGTCATACTGGGAGCTAATGGAAGTGTCTCATCCACTGTGAAGCAGTTGCGGTTGTATAACGATCTTTGAGCCAAAATGGCTACTGTAAGGCCCCTTTGGTATTCTTGTTCACCAATTTAGGACATTGAGCCTTCCAGTGACCCTTCTCACAGCAAAAATTACACTCATCTGAAGCAGTTCGACCTCGATATTTAGTCTATGAATGAGGAGTCCCTCTGGGTGGTATAGCCAATACAGTCTAATTAGGCAATGGAAGCATGCCCTTTCCAGAAAGAGTCTTACGACGGACTTTTTCAGCCAGAAGCTCATTCACTACTGAATCGACTGTGGGAAGTGGGAGACGATGGAGAATAGAACCACGAAAACCCTCAAAGTCATCTCTAAGAACCATCGAAAATTGTACCAACTATTACTCCTCCCTAAAAGTACAATATACCATATGAGTACTCAATTCAGCTAGCTCAGCAAGTGCTAATTGATCCCAATATCCAGTTATAATCGAGTAGAATTCTCGTATGGTCTTATCACCCTGACGTGCAGCTTGAATTTCATGCTCAAGCTGATATCTCTTTGCAAAATTGGACTGAACAAACAATGTAGCTAAATAATCCCAAATCTGTTTGACTGTGTTAAACTTAGCCAAATGTACACCAATGGTCTGATCAACTGAGTTGTTAATCCAAGTGATAATTTTAGCATTGTTGACTTCTCAGGTATTCTTTAATTTAGTATATTTCTTTGCCTTTGAATCTATTGGAACTTGCACAGCACCACTAACATAACTCCACATCTCTTTCCCCGACAGGAAATTCTTCATAACATAAGACCAATATACATAATTTTCACCATTTAATCTGACACTAATAGCTTGAAGAGAATCAGAATGTCCACTTGTCATAATGTCTCAGCAAAATAATACCCAAAATAAAACAGAAAACAACAATAAACCCAGCAACACCGAATAACAATCCAACCCAACAACACCAGCCGACCACAAGGAACAAAAATCCACAAGAAACAAAACCCAGCAACACCAGCCAACCACAACAAACAAAAATCCACAAGAAACAGAAGCAAGAACCGATGCACAGTAGCAATCCACAAGAATAGCAATCAACGATATACAATAGAAGCAAGAAACAGCCAGCCGATCACAAGAAATCCACAAATCAGACCATAACACAGACAGAGGGAGGCAGTCGGTGCACTGAGATAGTTGGTGCACTGTGAAGACAAGAAACTAGTAGGCAGAAGACTTACCATATGAACTCAAAACAAGAAAGGGAGCACACCAATGAGAAACCCATGAAGAATTGATCAAGATGGTGGTATTCATAGTCGGAGACTGATAATGTCATCACCAGCAATGATGATGTCAATGTTGTTTGTCATCGGGTCTCACCAGATCTTCACGTCATCGGGTTCATCAAATTGTCTTCACGTTGTTGTGTTTATCAGGTCTTCTCCTCTTCTAGACTTTAATCATGATTTATTATTGAGTTTAAGGATTAAGGCTCTGATACCATGTTGATGTTTATCAATGAAAGGGGAAAAATATATTAATAAGTCTAAACCAGATCTGTATTACAAACGAATTTATACTAGGGCAAAATATAGTAATATAAATGACTAATCTACCCCTAATGCTAATATACTAGATTACTATATACTAGATTCATCTAACAATAATCAACTAAGGAAATGATATAAAGATAATGCCAGAGACAAAACAAGTTTCTGAAAAATGATCTCCAGTAAGAAGAAAGGAACAAGAAGAACTCGCCCACGAAAAAAAGAAAACACAATAAAGGAATTGTCACTTTTATCTATCTTCCATCATAAGATATGATAAAGAACAATTTGTTCTTGATACTCAACAAATCGAGCCAAAATTTCTTGGCAATTTTTTTTTAAATGCACCTTACTTCACAATAGCTTTCAACTCCAAAACTATATGTCCAGGAAAGAGATTCACCGAGCATTGAAATTAAATGGAATTTTTTCTCATGATGGCTATGTGAAAGAGTCTTCTCTTCAAAAAAACACAAGAGGATTTTCCTTTGATGGGGAGGATAGTTTAGTGCCTCAAATGGATTATAAGTCTTTTATGGCTAAGTCCAAAGAATTCTTGGGAAAACTCAATACTACTGAGAGAAAAAAAAAAGGAGAAAAGAAGAGGAGCTAGCTGCTTTGGCGTTGGCATTGAATAATAACCCAGCCGTGGAAAATTCAGCAATAATGACTAGGTCCAAATCCAAGCTAACCTTCAAAATTCCAAAGCAAAAGAATCCACATGGATTTAGGCAGTAAATGGGGGATTTTCATGGATTTGAAATTCAATGGTGCAGAATGCCAAATGGACACTCTTTTAGCTGGACTCTAGTTTTGCAGTTGCATGATCTCTTCGTGGATAGCAGCTGCAGCTAGATCATCATCAAAGCTATTTTGTTTGAAACTGCCAAGCTTATTTACTCCAGCTGATCTTCTCCTTCAGCTGGAGTTCTATTGACTGCCAACTGGTCTTATCAACTACTACACTGCCCCAGTTCTTTCAATTCAGCTGGTCTCCTAGTTAACTGGCCTATCCACTATCAGCTGAACACTTAAAAATTTAAAAAGCTGCATGTTTAGGATAATTTACTTTTTACTTGTTTACTTTTCTTTACTTATTTTATGTAATTAGATTGCATCGAGGGATAAGGTACATACGTCCCTCTCTAACTAGGAGTAATTTGATTTTTTCAAATCAATAAAATTTCCTCGCACTGTCGAGGTTCGCCCAAAAATAATGTAAACCCTCCAATGCTCATTGAAATTCTTAGAAAATTTCAAAGGGTGAAAGAGAAATACGTTGTTTCATTGCAGTAGGCACTAAACTAGTAAACTATTAAATCCATCAATTGACGATGACATCTGCAATCTCGTATTTAATTCACATAAAAACTGTCAAATATTCGGTAATGCTAGGAAATTCAAAAGGAGTACATAATGAAATGCTTTTGCTTCAAGCCTTCAACTAGATTAATATCAACCTAAAATGAGGTATAAAATCACTATCTAAACAATTCACTTTCGATCATTGTAGTTTAGTAGTCTATAATTACAGAGTTTTTTGCATTTTATAACTTTTGATAACCTCTATAGTTGAAAATATATTACATAAGAGATCTGAATTCGAGTTGAAGAGCAGCCAGGTGCATGCAAATGCCTACTAAATGTTGGGTTTCGTACCCAGTCTATCCCCTCAAAACACCTTGCAAAGCTGGATGACATTTGATAACGGTGCTTTCTTTTCCCAATACTTTCTCACCTTTTCTCTACTTGCTAAACAGTCACATAAGCATATGAAGATACCACAACATTTTTGAACTTGGATTTCTAGCTCACTTTCTTTGTCTAAAGCAAAAAAACAAAATGATATATATGGTTAATAGTAATACCAAACTGATAGTGTCACCAGACAGTATAAAGGCCAGCTAGGGACTGTTAGATTATAAGGAAGATGGCTGCATTACTATTATCACAATTTCATAATTGGAAAACAGAGTCACTAAGAAATAGGGAACCACTTATTATCAGACATTACAGAATCTTTTGTCTATGGAGAGATTAATGATGACCAACAAATGAAACTGCCATTTCTTCAATTCAGAAGAGGAAGATGGTAAGTTAAATGCAAAAATTTAATCAGCCTTTAGCATCCTTTGTTCATCTAACTTCCGGATTATTACTTATTCCTAATCATGCTGCGCCAAAGCGATACCTTGCTTAAAATTCTTTATATATCCAAAGTAGCACTCTTATTGCAATATAGAAATACGTGTGTATCGAATGTAGCACAACTACTATTAGCATGATCATATAGGTCTTGTCAACATTCTATTGTGATGTATGGAGGTGCCACTGTCCCAACTAGAGTGTCTTGCAAATCTCTTTCTAGCTTAAACAAGGGATTTTTTTTCTGGTGAAAGGCAATATACTATTGGGATATTGAATGAAAAAGGAATCTCAAGGCATGACCAACCAATTTCTCCCTGAAATACAATCAGAGTCCTAAACATTGTAATAAGAGATAATTCATTGACCCTACTCCCTGTGCAAGATTGGTGTGGAGAACAAAGATGCTATCACATGGTTTATTATCATATCTCTCATCAACTTTAATATCCACATGTGGATGAACATCAAAAACCTCATTTCTGCCTTGCTCCTCAGATTTGTGCTATCTCAAATTCACACCTACAAAATTAACCCTTTAAATGTACCGTGGAGATCTATGGATGTATGTTTACCAACAATCCTGATTGGGCAAGTTTCAGTAGAACTAGATGGCAGACATCGAATAATCTTTGGCAGGCATTTGAACTTGTCAATTGCTTTCCCCATATAACAGCACTTGATTCAAGTATAGGCAGAAAGCTCATGGCATCTATCATAGCCATCCCCCCTTTTTTCCCTGGTGTCCCTCTATTTTGCAACAACTGCACTGCTCTCTCTGTTGATGCTACGGTAATATTCCACAAGCAGACAAAGCACCTAAGCAGTAACGCCACATTTTTGTTAGCAATTCTTAACTCAGGTTCACTCGTCCAATTTAAACATACACCAACTTAGAATCAGAAGATTGAAGGATTAAACCTCTAAGAAAGGGCTAGCTCCATTTTCTCTGATGGGATGCAAACTCCACCTTGAGGACCATTACTGGCCATTTTCAATTTCCATGGTTATTACATAGCTTTCACCACTCTCAATGCAATCTCATTTTCGGTAACTTATTCTCTTATACACACATTCAACAAGATGTCAATAGTTATATGCACACATATAAAATCTCTGTGGTTATCCAATTCAATAAGTGATTTGCTCTGAAAGCATGAAAAACATTTCCAGAACATAATACAAGAATAATTCAAGAACGTAATAAATCTACAAGATAACAGCAGAACTCAACAAGAAGCTAAAAGCTCAAAAAACGTAAGAAAATGTAAACTAAGCCCAGTAAAAAATATTTCCCAAGAAAATGGAGGGCATGAAAAGACACATCTAATTTGGAAGCTACAGAGTGGAAGATGAAATTGAACTGTCTATGGGTTCCCAAATGATGCTGGAAGAAAAACTGAAAAGGGTACCTCATACCCGTTAGACTGAAGACCAAGGTTCCATGATGGGCCACCACTGTTGGGTTTTCGCTTAACAGTGAGGCTGGCTCTGCAAATGGGGTTTCCAAGCTTTGGAGAGTGTATGGGGATGAGAGAGGAAGAACATAGGTGGAAGGAAGGGAGCCATGAAGAAGAAGAGACCTCTCTGACCGTTATCCACATTATTCCCCACTCTCCCTCTCTCGATTCTCCCTCGAGAAGTTTACCAACCGGAAGCCAATGTCAGCCACAACATTTTTTTTTTTTTGGGAAAATTACATCTAGACCGCTAAAGATTTGTCACTTTCTAACTTAGCCCCCTTATATTCAAAATATTACATATAAATCCTCTATAGTTTGTACGTAACACTGCAGTCGATGATCCCATAAAAAAATGTCCATAATATATTATATCTAGACCTTTTAAAGTTTATAGGCGTGTAATACTTAGACCCTTTAAATTTAATCTAAATTTCATGCTCTATTATGTCATTTATTAAAATACAATTAAAAATAAAAATTTAATTTTTTTCTTAAACAAATTATAATAGTATTATTGATACCAAAATTTGGACAAGTTTCACATCAATTTGTTAGGTTTCGATCACCTGAAAAAGAAGTCAGAGACCAAAAGGGAGCCAGGGAGATTGACTCTCCCATGCAAATGTATGAACTACATATAGTAATCAGTATAAATATATTAAAGAACTCAATTCAACAATCATTTACATATAATTATACTATATATTTGACTAAAATTAAAAAACTAAATAGATGATCAAACATAATATATACAATATCTTCTATTTTTAATTGAAATAGTTTGGTCGTTTAATAGATTTCGTTTGTTCTGTAATTAACATGAAGTCTAAATATAATATTTTAAATTTGAAAGATTTAAGTATTATATGTTTACAAATTTTAAGTGATTTAAGTATAATTTTATTAGGCCCGCGTGTATAAACTTTATAGGATCTATGTATAATATTTTAAATATCAAGTAATCTTCTTTTTTTTTTTTGGTCAAATATATCAAATAATCTAAATAGTGTAATTTTCCCCTTTTTTCCGGGAACCAGAGTTGAATTCAAAATATTATTGAGATACCGAATAATAAAATCTAGAATTAATTATGTTTAGGTCCCTTTAGCTTTGTCACTAAATCACAACAGACCTCTATTTTTTGTATGGTTACACTTCCATCCCATATAAGTAATATATTGGAAGCAAAATTGTAAAGAGGCCAATTTGTTTGATTTTTCACTTCTACGTATATTGTGTAGACTTGCCAATCCCCCTTTCTCTGTCACTCTTCGATCAATTCTCTGTCCAAACACAAGGTAGTACATTCCTGACCCAATCATTCAAGAATTCATGAATTGTTTATGTGGTGGTACACTATCTATGCCCTTATGGTTTTCAGAGATGTGCTTAGTTTTTGATGAATATGAATTTAGTTTTAAAGAAAAGTATGTGCACATCCAAGGCACGTGAGGAAATCACGAGGTATGCAAGAAAGGCATGGGTGTGCAATCTGGTGAGATATATCTCACTCAATAAATCCTAATTGCATCACTAATTCGCTTACCCAATCCCAAGATAATAGCTCAAACTAGCTCTAGCTATTGAAGAGGAGTTTCACTTTCTAGGACTTCTCATTTGAAAAGTAGCTAAAGGAGCTACAACAGTAAAGGAGGCTGGAAGCCTGTAAAGGAGAGAAACAAGATAGGAACCAGGTAAGCAATTCCTCTCAACTCACTTCTAGCCAATCATTTTCTCTTTTACTGACTTAATCACTAGAGGGCTGATCTTCGGAATCACTTCGGTCCTTGAATTCTTTGCAGGATCTCGCTAGAGATTGCTAGGTCATCAAACAATCTATTGGTGCTATTTTTGGGATCAATAGTTGGCACCGTCTATGGGAAACGCTTGATCACATCAAATCCTATTGCAGTAACAAGGGCATTAACGAAGCCGACAACTGACCAGATACTTGAACGCCATAGTAACCACCCAGTGGGACAAAAGGTTGTGCCCCCACAGAAAAAGAGTCAGCAAAAGTAAAAAGGTTGGAAAAAACAATTGAGGAATTGAAGAAGCAGAATCAACAAATCCTCCAACTCCTTGCGCAAGATCAGTCTCAAACTAGATAATATGCAAGAGATAACCAGGACAATAACCAGACCCAAAAAGGGGTTGCTCAACCTCAAATCAACAATCAATGGGAGAGAAACTTCTGTGAAATGAATGAAAAATTAGGGAACGCTATAAACACAGTAAAAGCCTGGGCCCTCGAAGTCATTGAGGCCCTAGTCCAGTATGCCCAGTCATCATTCACACAAGACGTTCTGAATTATCCTATACCAGAGAGGTTTAAGATGTTGGTCATTGATATGTTTGATAGAACAAATGACCCATTAGATCATCTAGAAACTTACAGATCTCTAATGATGCTATACAATATTCCAGACCAAATCATGTGCCAACCTTTTGCCACCACACTTAAAGGAACGGCAAGACACTGGTTCAATAAGTTGAAGTTGAGCTCAATTGATAAATTTGGTGAGTTGAGCACCTCCTTCATCTCGCACTTCATCGGAGAACAGGCCCATAGATGATCCCTGACCTACCTCCTAAATGTAAAGCAGTCCAGGGGATAAACGTTGCGGGAATATGTCAATCGTTTCACTAAGAAGTCTCCACAAATTGATAATGTAGATGACAAGGTTATCCTAACCGCTTTTATAGGAGTATTGCAATCTTCACAGTTCCTCTTTGCTCTCTCAAAAGAACCGCCCACATCCATAGTAGAGCTCTTGGCAAGAGTCCAACGCTACATGCATGCTGAAGATACTCTCCTGTCTCAGAGGAGCTAGGAGGATAGACGAGATGATCGACAAGATAAAAAAAGGAGGAAGGACCCATCAAGTAAGAAGGAAAGAGCTGGAAGTCCCAAGAAGAATTGTATTGAAAGGATCAATGCAAGAGATCGACTAGGTCCTCGTATTCCCAATAACCTAGCTCAGAATTACACTGCCTTAAACACCTTTGGAGAGCAGATCCTCTTCCAAATATAGGATGATAGGATCGTCCAATGGCTAGGGAAGATGAACACGCATCCATAAGAGATCCAGGGACTAGTATTGACGCTTCCATAGGGACCAAGACCACAACATGAAAGTTTGCTAGGTCCTAAGGGACCAAATAGAAGATCTAATTCAAAAAGGAAACCTTGGGAGGTATATATAGTGCCGAAGAGGAGAGGAACGACACTCAACCCCACTAAGAGCAAGTCCTACACCAATAACTAGTAGGGGGAGGTTACAATGATTTCTAGAGGCTTCGTACGAGGAGGAGATACTAGCTCTACTAGGCGAGCTCATGCTCAAAGAATAAAGTCCAAGATAGATGTAAACTCAATAATTCTAGGGAAAAACTCCTAAATAGAGCCTCCGATTATTTTCTCTAAAGGAGATTTGAACTGTATTTAGCACTAGCACGACGATCTGTAGGTGGTTACCTTGATGATTGCTAATTATGCCATAAAAAGGGTTCTTGTAGATAGTGGGAGCTTGACATATATAATATTTGCTCTAGCCTTTGACAAGATGAACTTTGGCATAGAAAGACTAACCCCAATAGTTACACCAGTCATCGAATTCTTAGGGAAGAAAGCTCATCCCATTGGATCCATCGTTATGGGTAGGCCCCACCATAGACTACAATTATGACAAATTTCTTGGTACTAGACTATCCTTTGGAGTACAATGTCATCTTGGGTCACCCAAGCCTTAATACATGAGGGCAGTCTCATCCACATACCATCTCCTCATGTAGTTTCCAACCAAGGAAGGGGTTAGAGAAGTGCACGGTGACTAAATTATAGCCCGAGAGTGTTATATGTCCTCCATGAGGGGAAAACCTCCAAGTATGTTCCCCATATCATAGTAAGACCCAAAACGCTTGTAGCTTGTAGAAGACTTAAAACCCATCCAGATCGAAAACTCTTTTGAGAAGGTTATCTTTATAAAAAAATGCTTAAAGAAAGCCTGAGGGCTTTGTTGATAGAGTTTCTCAACTCTAATAGGGACTTCTTCGCTTGAAGACAATTCGATATGAGGTGATTGACCCCACAACAATTGTTCACAAACTGAATGTTAATCCAAATTTTAAGCCAATTCGGCAAAAGCAGCAAAGCTTCACTGTAGAACAAAATCTAACAATAAAAGAAGAAACTGCAATGCTTTTGGATGCCAAAAATGTCAGATAAATCTAATATCCATTATGGCTAGCCAACGTGGTAC